CAACCTCATCTTCCTCCTCGCAGGATGCTCCTCCCATGGCCCCGGCTCTTCCCATTCCCAACGCGGCTTTTAGGATGCCCAAACCAGTTATTCCTGCTCTCGCCCAGCACAAACTGCTCTTCATCCTCCCTGAATGCAGGCGTTCCCAGCAGCCGGGCAGCAGCCATCCCTCCTTCCTCAAAACAGCATCTTCCCGCTCCCCGCAGGCTCAGGACCGCGGCTGGATGTGGCCACAGGGGGATTTTTGGGATGCAGTTATTGTCTCTCCCTTCGCAATACAAATGCACACATTGTAAAAATAAATACGTTATTTTCCTCCCTCCCTCCAAGCTGGGATTCATCCCCTGGTCCCTCTCATCCCCCCAGAGCAGTAACTCTGGATGAGGGGCTGTCGATGAGCTGTATTTCTTCACCTCGGTGCAAATTACCACGAGCCAAAAGCCAACGTGCACAGCTTTGGGTACCAGAAGAGGGAGGCGTGGTGGGACTCGCCGCTGAGAGATGCTCCAACGGCTTCATTTTCATCCAGAATTTGGGCCAAAAATACTTTGTTCAAGTGCGTGATCTCAATCTCCCCTTTCTCCTCGCAGAGGGCAGCGATCCACCGCTCCTGGAGTAATTAAATGAATTTGTGATGTATTGAAGTGCTTCAGGTAGAACACGGGGTAAAATTTCTCATTCTGGAATGGCAGCGAGCACCACTGCAGCTCTCCCGCTCCACCGATGTCCCTGATGGTTTCCTGGGAGGTGATGTTTCTATGACAGAAGATGTAAAACGGATAAAAATGAAGAGAAATGGAGGGGCAGACCACAGGGATGGCAGCGGTGAGGACATCAAATCCGTTCCGTTTTTAACGGTGATCCCTGGGATCCCGCACGGCTGCCGTCGTCTCCTTCCTCTCCCCTTCTCCCAGCGCCTGTTTTGGGGAAGAAACGCCCAAAAGGAGGGGCCTGTGACAAAACTGAGGTGATCTCAGCCCAAATCCAGCGGCAATAAGAGGCAGACCCGAGAGTTTGACCATTTCTTTATTGATTCCGGTACTAAAAACCCCTCACGACACAACAGCTCCTGAGCTCGGGGTCCTCCACCACTATTGCCTTTTCACGGGAGTTTTAAATTTATTATTTTTTTTAATTTTTTGTTGTTTTATTATCAAAGATTGAGAGTCACAATAAATATGAGTGACAAAGGACACATCCTGCGCTGGCGTAACGCTGTTCTCTTACGCTCCTGCGGCAGCCCATTAGAAACTATTCAACTTTTATCGTTTAACAAAAAAAAAGCAGCACAATGCAAGTTATGTCACTAAATGCAATGTACAGCATCACTCTGCCTTAGCAGACAAACACTGCTGTGGTTCCTTGAGGTCTTTTTGCATTATATATATATTTATTATTTAGGAAAAAAAAAAAGCCTTCTGTGGCCCCTCCTTCCAAAAGGAGAAAGCGAAAAATGAGCCAAAGTGTTGGGTTTTTTTATTAATGAGATCTGCCTCTGCTCTTCCCCAGCCCAAATCCCCCCTTTTCCATCCAGGACTGTACTTTGGTAATTATTTTTTTGTCCTTAATTAGCCAAAAAAAAAAAATGCGATAACCAGGTGCGAGAATTTAGAGGTAAATGAATGGTTCCCTAAAATGATGATTAAAAACGTCTATAGAAAAAAAAACCCACAACCTCGACCGATCTCAAATTTCAGATCAATCAAGAGTTTTCCTCCATATAAAAATTAGGAAAGTCACCATTTACACGAGCAGGAAAGGCCGTCCACAGCGGCTGCGTTATAAAAATAAAAGGCTGGCCCAGGCCACGCGCCATCGTTCAGAGCAAAGGACTAAATAATAAATTAGGGTGTACTAAAATATAATTAAAGACCAACCACACAGCTCCCAAATGGCAACACGGGTTTCCAATGAAAATCCGGGGTTTTATTTCACGAGTCACTAAAATCTAAGTACAACAGTCATCGTCATCGTCACTGGTAGAAAACCGACAGCTCCAACCAAGGTTTCTATGGCTTGCGAGAACCGGGGCCACCCCAAACCCTCTCCCCAGGAGAGGGGGAGCAGCCTCGGAGCAGCCCCTGCAGCGAAGCAGCGGGAAATTCGGGCTGCAGCCCCGGAGCCCTTCTGGTGCAGGGCCAGCACGGGCAGTCTCTTGTTCCCAGGGAGGAAATCGCTGGTTTTTGGAGGAAATGGCTGGTCTTCACCCCAGGAGGGGGCCGAGGCGGCGATTTCGGGCAGCGCTGATAGCTCTGACGGCGGCAGGGATCCCAACTGTGACAGCGGCAGAAATAAACCAGGGATTTGTTCTTCAAAACGTGCCTAACCCCACCTCCTGAACAACTCAATCAACCTTTAGGGGTCACGCCATCGTGGGAATATTCCAGTTTGGGGTTTTTTTACCTGTTTTTTTTTCTCCATATTTTCCTGCAAGAAAAGGGCATGCACAGACAGGGAGGAGGAGATCCGGAAAGACTGCAGCGAGTGTTTGGACAACACCAAAACCCCGTGTGGGGCTGGGATCAACCCCACTCAGGGGAATAAAACACGGATATAATGAAGAAAATAGCAACTTGTCTGGCATTTAACACGTGCACCATTTCAGGCTTTTCCTGGTGCGTTTATCTAAAGCACAGATGCAATAAACACTTCCTCTGCGTTACCTGCAGCGCCCCAAGGACCACAGAGCAAAAACGATGTCAGAACAGCTTTGAACCCCGGGCAGCCCCAAATCCATGCGGTGTTTTCTGTTCACCTGCAAAGTCTTAATAATGTAAGTCTTAATTCTACCCCAGCAGGTAAGATAGTAGCTGTGGGGTTTTATTCTACGTTAGATGAGCACAGATTGCGGCGCAGCGTTGCTGAGGGAGCAGTGTTTCTAAGTCATTATGTGCATATTTCATTTATTTTTTTCCCCGTTTCAAACCTTAAAATGAGTCTTCTCAATTATTTTAAGGCTTAAGTCTTCCCCCTATCCATCGTGCTGAAATTCAAATGTAAAGGGCAGCTATGCTGAACGGGTGGTAGCCAAAGAGGTTTTGACATCGCTTTTCAAACAGCAAATTTAATGCTTCTGCCCCTTCTTTCCGTCCTCCTTTTTCCAGCATTGGCTGAAGCCAAAGGTACCCCAACACCAGAACCAAATTGTGAAGGTGTCCAGGCTTCCCAAAAAGGGATTTAACTTTAGTTTGAGAAGTTCCGCTTGTTCTTTTTAAACAGATGCGCTCTTCCCAGGCGATCTAACAGCGGTAAGTAATGAGATAACGCAGGCATTTGAGAGAACAAACCCCCCTCAGAACCCAAAAAACCCCTCCACGCAGGTAAGGAACTGAAACTTTTTCATAGTATTTCAAAGTGCAAAACTAAAATGCACCCAAATTTCTCTCTCCACATCTCCCAATCCAAAATACCTTGGAATGAAAAGAAAAATTAACAGCTCGACCCCAATTCCTCTCATCCCCATTTAGCTCTTCGTATACATTTGCAAAACCAACCAACCAAAAAACCAAACCCAAAGCCAAATGGAAATTCTAGGGCTTTACACAGCAACAAATACCATTTTGCAAAACTAGGTTTCCTATCCTACCGAACGGTTTGCAAAGTGTCTAAATACCGATATCCACACAGCAGAAGAGGGGCTAAAATGAAGGGATTTGCCTTTTTCGCTACGCGACGGTTAGATCTGAGGGGGACAACCCTAGAGTTATTGGTTCAATAGATCCAACGGCAACTGCTAAGAAAATAGAGTCAGCATCGGCTGAATAGTACCCCCTCCCCCCCTTTTTCTTTTATATATAGATATATATTTATATAATTTTGCAAATAATTCTTATCAGCACTACTTCCAGTACTGATATGCAACATAAGTAGTAAGGCATGGATCTCTGCCACTTGAACTCAACTTTAATTTGGGAGAAGCGCAGGGAAGAAGACGAGAAGGGAAAAAAAAAAAAAAAAACAAACCAAACCCAACAAGGGGACCTGATGGTAGGGCAGGGAAAAAGACGAGAAGGGAAAAAAAAAAAAACAACAAACCAAACCACAAAAGGGGACCTGATGGATTTGGGTGTGGAATCCCCAGAATGGATTAAAAAACCACGCCGAAACCTGTCCGTAAAGCAGGGTTACCCAAAGGAAATGGGGAAAAAAGGAAATACTGAAGTGACGGAGCATGCTCGGTGCATTGGAAGAACGGAGCTTGACGGAGGGGTGAGGGTCGGCAGTCCTGCCCCCAGCGCGGCCACCTCAGCACGAATTTGGGCCACTACAGCGCGGATCTGGGCCACCACAGCGCGGCCCAGGAACCCGGGGGGGTTTTGGCGGAGGAAGGAGCCTGCGCCCCAACAGTGGCTCCCCCTCCTCCACGCCCTCCCCTTGGCCTCTCTGATTGCGTGCAGCTTCTGCAATTCCTATTTCTGAGGGAAACTGCTCAAAACGGTAACATAAAACCCCTCCAAAAAAAGAAAATAATCCAAAACAGTTTCGCTTGTAAAGTCTCTGGGAACATCGGAAAGGCCCAACTGCTCTTCGCTGAATTAGAAAGACTGAACAAAGGTGTTTGTCTATGCAGTAAATTAGATTTTTAGACTACCAACAGTTCAATGTCTATTCAAAACAGAATCCAACAAAAGTGAGAGACTCCTGCACTGGTTCCCACCGACAAGTTTAGGGGGCAGCCAGTCCCTTAGGAAAACCCAAACCAAACCATACTCAATTGGAATTGGAGTTTACACTTATTTATCACGAGCTCATCATCAGGAGATTTCGGAACATCATCATCTGTGGACTGCTGTCCTGGCTGGACGAGGGGCAGGGAGGAAAAGCAAATGTGAACTTGGCTCACTAAATGCAGCTGTGAGACGGGGCAGACACTGAAATTCCTCTCTCCTTGAGCTGCCATCCGTGCTGGATGGCAAACCACCGCGTGCGTTCCTGCTGGAAGGGGGGTTTATTAACAACGAAACCGAAGGCAGAGGGTCCTCGAGTCCTCCTTTTGTGCTGGTGCCAAAAAAATCCAAACTAAATACATTAAAAGCCCAAAAGAAAGAAGAATCCTTCCCCTTCATCGTCAGTCGATCACCAACATCTGAGAACCAAAGGAGCTGAAGTCTTTCCCACCCACACGGCAGCGTTTCTCACAGCAGGGACAGCAGTGCTCGATGGGGTGAGGAGCGGTCTTCTTGCATCCTAGAAAGCCTGGGGCGTATCCAGCCGGGATTGAAGCGGATTCCACTGTTGTGTGGTGTAAAAAGGATGGCAGAAACAGGAAAGTCTTCCTCTGGGGGATTCCTCTGCACTATTTCCACGTGGCGGACTGTGGGATGGACCGGGGGGGGATCATATCCAGGAGATATTCACGCTGGCGGTCCACTGCTGAAGACGACTTGTGCACAGCTAAACTGGGGCTGACGAAGGGTAGAGCCCCACCTGGGGAGATACAAAACGAGGAGAGGGAACAAATGTCACCGCATGACACAGAGATGAGACAAAACAGCGGCAAAAATGCGCTGCTTGCATTTAAGCCACAAGAAAAGGCATCGTCTAAGCATGGGTCGTGGGCCGTGAAGGTCAGACACCTCCAGATGAAAGCTTCCAAAATCATCTGAACAAATACCAGCAAGATTTTGTACCAGAAATGAAGATTTGAGCAGGCTGCAGCTCTCTGCGATGCAGTTACATTTTAAACTATAAATTAAGCTGTCAGGAATAAAAATCAAAAGAAATCCATTCAATACTGGGCAAGAAAGCAGATCACAAAAGAGCCGGTTGCTACAGTGTTTCCTTCCTAGAGATCTTAATCATCACTTAAGAAAACAAATGACTCTTCAAGTTAGATTCTTATATATTAAAAAAAATGATTGGATTAAAATTTGTAATTTCCATTTGTGCAAAGCAACAACTTCAGTTATTTCAAATCCTGGGAGTGCACACTGCAGCCTTACCCAGAGCAAACCCATTTATTTACTGTACATTGTCAAATGACTGAATTAAACTCCCCAAAATGAGTTACAGACTCCCACGGCATTGTACTGGCTGTGCGTACGGACTCAATGACGAGCAGTCCGACCGCACACGTACAAACAGGTGTAACAAGTGGTAGTTTTTATTTGGTAGCACCACCCGATGAGCATAAACCACCCCAAAAAGCAAGTGCCGACGAGTAAAGCCCCAGCAGCACTGGGCTTTCATGCAGTAAATGCCAAAGAGAAAGCATCCTTACCCCAAGAACTACCCTTGGTGGGCAGAGCGCAGCTATTAAGTACAAAGAAAAGGAACTTTCAGAGAAAGATCTACCTGTATTGATGGAAGTCTTCTTCCAGGCGGCAGCGCTGCCCTTGCCGGCAGGTCTCTCTGCATGCTTACCTGGCCTGCTCCCCAGTGCTGCTGCAGACGACGCGTTCTGCAACTTGGGGGACTGGCTAAACGCATGCAAGACGCCCCGCGGAGCTCCGGCGCCTCGAGACATCTGGCTGGAGGGCTGCGAGAGAGCGCAGAGTGAGACAGGCACAGGGGTCTGCTGTCCCTAAGTACAACAGCCCCGAATCTTTACTGCCCCTCTCCTTTCTTTGCTGCTTCTGCCAAACCTGGAAGGCACTGCTTGAGTTTTAAGGCTAAAAACCCTCAGGACAACTCAAAACCAACACAAAAATCAGTTTTCTACTTCTGAAAGCACCTGTAAGGATGAGGAATTATAATGCTGCAAAGCAGCAATGTGCTGTGTAAGCATCTCCATGGACAGGCAGCACTGCACTTCCCTGTCCCAAATAACCTTGATTATTGCAGCTCAAAGCTGCATTTCAGCAGTTTCTGTCTCCCTCCAACTGAGGGCGGTGTGTGAGATCCCGTCTGTCACGGGTGGTTGCTACTATCACCTTAAAACTTCACAACCAGGATTACGTGTTCCTGCCTCAAGCCATTTTGGGGGTCAATTTACCCTTGTGCGTTTGGCACTGGAGCACCTCTTTCCATTTGGTGCATCCTAAAAACATTCAGGAACAGACTTTGCTGGATACGAGTTAAACACCCACGCTAATTAAAATGACTCTGCTTAAATAAAAGCTTAAATACAGCGAGTTCATGCCTGCACACCCAACACTCATCCTCGGAGCTGTGGGACGTCACCAAAAGCTGGTTTTTGGTGGAGGAACCGTACCTGCTTGAGCGAGTGGTGCTGCACGATGGGGTCTGACTTGGTCTGTACGGGAGATGCCGTCTGCTGCAGTATCCTCTGCTCGATCTCCTGCTCCTGCTGCAGCGCCTTGACAAAGGCGGCCTTCAGCCGGTTCGTGTGCTCGGCCTTCAGGGCCTTCTTCTGATTTGAAGTCATGCAGGTTTCGCACATGATGGTGCCATTCTTCTCCTCCCTCCAGCGGCAGGTGAAGTCGGTCTTACACTGGGCGCACATGTAGGGCTCGCGAGACGATACCGCAACCGAAACTTTACCTGCAGAACGCAACCAGCTTATCTCAGCTCCACCTGTGGCTTCTATGAGTGAATAATACTTGAGACACCTCAACAATATTCCAGCATAAAAACACCCCAAACCTAAAGCAAATGGTCCACCCTTAACTCTCCTCAGTCTGAAGCCTTTTGCATTACTAAATCTTCAAGCTCTACTTCTGTGAGTGCGTGTGGATGTATCCAGCAGGTAAATCTTCAGAAATTCATTAGCGAAATGAGTGGTGATGGACCAAAAAGTGGCTGACAGGAAGGCAACAGCTCTGGGCAGAACTGGATGCATTTTACAGAAATCTTTACAGTCAGTGCCGAGCCTATCAGAAATCATAACTTTTAATGTACTTAAAAAAAAAAATTAAATAAAACAGTTGTAAAATTATTAAAGGAAGTGAATCCCAGATTTGGCAAAATATGACATTAAATCTTGCAAAGCCTGAAACTCCTTGCTGCTCAGATAAAATCCAGACAGGAACGGTTTCCTCGCCTTTGAGGAACATTTTTAACGCTCTCTCACCTTGAGTTTCCAGCAAATTCTGCACAACTTCTTCCAACCCGACCAAGTAAATGAACTCGTTGTTGGCTGCACTGGGCAGGAAGTTCATCTCGGGTGCGGGCGGCTTGGGAGGAGGTATCTCCAGCAGCGTCTTCTCCAGCTGCTTCCGCAGGGCCAGCTTGGCAGCAGCTTGCCGGCTGGCCGGAGAGTCGCTGGAGTTGACGATGGAGGCGGCGCTGGTGGTGGTGACGTTAGCCTGAGCGGATGTCACCGCTGTACCTTTGAGCGAGGTCGGTGAAGCCTGGGAGGGAACAGGACACAAGCGTCAGATGGTTTTGGTGTCTGAGCCCTCAGCTCCACTCCACGGAGAGGGATGGGAGGGAGGGACGCGGCAGTGAAGGTCTGGATGCTTGGGACAGACCAAGCCCTCTGCCTCTCAGTCCTGTTTGTGTAGGTAACCAAGGAGACCACAACACATACACTCACTGCAATGCTGTACCTCTCACCTAGTGCTCTAATTTTTTTTTCCTAAAGAACTTTATTTTTCTTTAGTGATCATTTTTATAAGGCATTTTTAGAAATCCTAAAGAAAAAAAAACAAACAAAAAACAAGCAAAAGGAGTCCTCTTTCTTGTGATTTTCAGCGACTTGAAATTGTTGCTCTCCTCTACAGCATTTGTATTCCAGTATCAGTGGTTGATGTTAAGTCGCTGCTTTGGGATCTCTTGGTGTTTCAAATGGGAGCAGTAACCCATTTTGAGCTCTCTCTACCAGAACACTCATTTACGCTTCTTAAGCAAGAGAGAAAGAAAAAAAATAGTCCAATGGACAGCTTCATACTGAAATCCCAAACGTGAAATGAGGCACTAAATGCAGTTCATGAAAATACGTATTTCTTCCCAATACTCTGTAATATTTTTCTTCATTCCATACAGGAGCTGAACATGAACAGAGAAAGGGCCTGCACGGGACAATGAAGGAGCTGTAGTGATCAGCAGCCACATTGCTCAGACCACAGCAGGTGACAAATTAGCTACAGCACCCTGACAATCAGTAATTAAACCCAAGATGAATGTCGTGTTTGGCACGAAACACCCAGTGTACCTCACCTGCGGGATGTTGACGAGCAGGCTGGTGTTGGGGACGTTGGCGACGCGGATCAGCCCCTGCTGGATGATTCGCTGCCCCTGGATTTGCACGTTGGGGACCGATGCCCTGGGCGCCAGCAGCAGCGGAGGCGGCCCCGTGCTGGAGTGCTGCCGGATGTTGTGGATTTGCTGGGAAGACACAGAGAGGGGCTGATGCGATGGGGCCGTGGAGGACGGGGAGGGTCAGATGGGGCGACATGAGACAGTGGGAATGCGAGGGACGCAAAGAAAGCGTGATCATTAACATCCCTGTAAAATGCCATGTTTTTCCCTTTCCCGCTGTGACAATGAACCACGTAGAAGGGAACATGAAGAGATGCTTATATGTGAGGCCACCACGTTACAGCCAGAACAGCTGTGCCAAGAAAAAAAATAAATCTGAGTTTCCAAGTGAAACTTCTTTCCAAACGTACAGTTGTTAGGCCCGTTCCATTTGAAAGGCATTAGGAAAGCTACTCCTCAGAATGAGTTTTTCTCCATAATCAGAAGAGAAAGAAAATGCAGTAACCAAATCTCCACCTTCCTCCTCAATGCTGGCTGTGCGACAGATAAAAGCAGACCTTTCACTGCAAATTAAATCCTCATTTAACAAGGAAATATTTCTTTCTTGGTATCCCATGGAAGTCATGATTTTGGAAGACCGCATCAAATTGAACATTGCTTTCCTACTCCTTCAATGACACCCCCATTTTCTGTTATAGGTGATAAAGACCCTGCAAAGCAACACTTTCAGACCATCTCAACTCAGCAGTGCTTATTCAGTCGCAAGACAGACGCAATGAGGAAAAGAAAGTGAGTTTTAGCATCGGAAAAGGTGAAATTGATACGATGGAAAGAATAATGAGGTGGGGAAAAAAAGGAAGAACGAGGAACTGTTTCATTTTCTCTGCTGCTGCTCTCCTAAAAAGCAGATAGAGCTGGAAGCCTGTAAATTAACTTTATTATAACGACAAGCAAACTGTTTTGGTGCAACAAATGGAAGCAGCTGTGCAGGTCAGGCAGCTTCCTGCATCACCACGGAGTTTTCTCATGCCCCACTGGAAGTGTTAAGGGACAGCACAATATGCAAAGCTGCAATGATTTGAGCAGCAACACACCTAGCTATATCAGGAAATTCCAGCAATATCACCACAGGTTCCCTCCAGACAAGCAGAAAAAGGACTAGGAAAACAGTGAGGGCCATTACAGAAAAGCAGAGCGGATCCGTCAGAAGGCAGACACTCACCTGTGCTCCTCTGACGAGAGGCGGCATCACAATCTGCGTGTTCTGCTGTGTTCCTAATTTCGAAGAAGTCTGCTGCCCTCCACGGACCAAGGGAGGAGGAATTACAGTGCCCGGTATACGCGTAGAAGAGGTCTGCAAAACAGAGAAAAGGAGTTTATTGGCACGGTTTTATTCTGGTATATTTATACACAGGCTCTCTTCTGCTGCTCAGTGCGCCCATGAGGCAGCATCGGCATCTCACACAGCAAGAGATATACGCAAGGATGCGATGGCAGCCTGGCTACGTGCTTGGGGGCTGTTGTCTCTCATCCTGCACAGAATTTGAAGGTAAAGAGCAATCCCGAGCAACATTTTCATCTGTCCTCGCTGCTCAGGAACTGCCCTAAGAGGCACGCCATAACGCGAGAGCAGGGGTACCCGAGAGCTCTCCTCTCTGGCTGACGGGATGGATGGGGGATGTCCTGAGCCAATGGAGATGTCGTGGGACAAGAGATGGCCAGGCTGGCTTCGGTGAGGTTAATGTCCAAAAAAAATCAGTGTATTTTGGGAGGATGTAAGAGAATGGGGAAATACAGACTGCTGTCTGCAAGGAGATGCGTGGGGCAGGGGTTGGGGATGTAGGGGAGCAGCCTGAGCATGTGCGTGGAAAAAGAGAGACAGGAAAAGGGGAAAGCTTCAGAAAAATGAAAAAGAAAAGGAGCCAGAGTAAAGACATTTTTTAAAATTGCCGCCTCTGCTTTTTGGGCTGCAGTCTGCATTAATTCCTCATGATGGTAGAAAAGGAGACACGGTTTCACGCAGCACTGAATGTTCCTGCAAAGCACCAACGCCAGGTGATGGAGCCCAAGGAGCACTCCCAAACTTCTCTCTCTCCATCCTACCCTTTCCACATCCTCCCTCGCTCCAGCCCCAAAGTGCCCATCATTCGTGAGGGAAACCTTCTAAAAAAATCACTGAAACTCCGTCTCTCCTGAGTTGCCACGTGTATGTGTTTAGGCAGGCGGGAAGTTTTATCCACTCCTGTCATGGCATACTGGAAACCAAATGTTAACTCAGCTCCTACACACAGGAATCAGCAGTGTTTTTAGTCAAGCAAAAGCAGATGGAGGTGAGGTTCACCGGCCCAAACACCGCAAATTAGACAGAATCACTTCAGTTCTGGATTCTTAGCTCCCAGCTCTGCTCTGGCCGAAGTCTCACTGCCTCATGGCTGCAGACTGAACCCATGGTGCAGTTCCTCTGAAAGTGCTGTCTCCAGCGAAGGCAACTCGCCCCAAGTCAGAGACTCCTCCAGCTGACAGATGGCGTTAGGTTTTGGTAACATTTCCTAATGGACAGCAAATTCACCCCTCCCTGGAGTACAGCATTGCAGGGGACTTCAAAATGAAGAGCTGCCGCTGTCCAACTGAAAGCATTTTGTGCTGAAGCACTTTGGAAATTTGTTTCGAATTAGCCCAAGGTAAATAACCAAAACTGCTTTAAATCCAAAAGCAGAACAAAATCCCAGACTCAAGAAGAAGATCAGGTTGACAGATGCCAATTGCCTCTGCTTTGCTTTTTTTTCCTCTTCCCCAAGGCTTTCCAACATTTCATTTAATTTAATTTAGCCTGAATTGAGATCACCCCTACCATCGGGTGCCATTGAGCCACCAAGGCAAAAGAATCGTGTGACTCCCCCAGCTGGCAGTTAACTACACCGAGGGCACCACGAAGTCTCCTGAGGGTATGGCAAGAGGCTGCCACAATTATTTCTGACACAACTCCTCTTTTGCCAAAGGCCGTTAGTACCGGGATGGATGGATTTACCAGCCGGGTGGATCGGGATGATCAGCCACTGAAAAATAAGCTTAGGGGAGCTGTATGCGTGCTACATCCCACTTCTGTCTCCCACCCCGGTTGTTCTTATGGTGGGGGTTGTGGGAGCTTTAATTAAAATTCCACCCGGCTGCAAGCCATGGCTGCGATGGGGTGGTCCTGTCCTGCCCTGTGCACCTTTTCTGCTCCGCTCCCTGCCTTGAGCCTGACCCACCCCACTGACCTGGAGGGACGCTTTGCCAGCAGCAACGCTCTGCGGTCCCCGCACCAAGGGCGGGGGGGTGGCCACAGCACTCCCAGAGGAACCGGCAGGCTGGAAGAGGAAAAACCAGAGAGAAAGAAAGCAGACGAGCGTAAGGGTAGAAGCAGAATTACAGCAGCTCAGGGAATAAAGGTGTTTACCTCGGTAAGGGAAGCTTCAAAGACACTGGTTTTCCCCCGCCCCCATACCCCTTTCTTCCTCTGAGCATCTCCACATGCATATTTAAATGAAGAAGTTATTAGGGGAGTATAGATAAAGATTATACCAGGAAAATAAGAGCCTGTACACCAGAAGCAGAGCAGCGTGGAAAGCCGTTTTAGCACTCCCAGCTTAGAGCCCACTTCAGTCTTATCCACCATTGCTGTGTCTCAACTAATTTGGTTCAAGCACAACACAAAGAGAAAAAAACCTTCAGCAAAAAGACTGCAGCCAGTGAGAAGTTTCAGATGTGCCACTTCACCCCAGTTTGTTCACACTTCCCCAGCTCAGTGCTCAGTGCTCAGCAGTGATTGAGCGATGCAGGTACTCGTGTTAAGTTTTAATTTACTGAAGTACTCAGAAATCCAGAAGACAGACAATAAAACATCCCGAAGCAGCCAGGAGAGCTGTATTAACATCCGTCTGCACCATGGAGTGCACTTAAAATCATCCATCAAGTCAGCATCACCCGCTGGAAAAGAAACCCGCCCAGTTGCTGTCGTTACAGAACCCGTGCAATGGAGCCCGTGCCTTCACAGCAGCGCATGGGGCGCTCATACGCCCCCTCACCTCCTGGGTGCTCTTCTTGTCACCCCCCAGCACGAAGGGCATTGCTCTGGCAAAAAGGTGGACTTTTTTTGTGCAGTTTCTGATGAAGACAGCGCTCCCAGCACTCGGGGCACTGCACGTGGTTGTATGAGATGAGGGGTGGGGAAGGGAGCTGGGGGTGGGAGGGCTGAACCACTCCAGGTCCTGCCTGGGTTTTGGGAGGATGAACGCATGCAGGGAGCCACGGCCCAGCTTCACCTGCAAGGACCTGGATCCAGACCCGCAGCACAAAACACAGCCCTTGGCTGGGGGTTCCAACTCTCCCTGTCAGGACCCTTGTTAGGCGCAAGAATCTCCTCCAAAGGCATTTCTGCAATCTCTACGTGGCGTTAAGGGCTGGATGCAGTGTTTATTAATTAGAAGTATATTTCAAATATAAACGCGCCCGAGTTCTAATGAAAAGATCTTCAGCTTTTGAACACAGTTGATGGGATAAATGTTTTGCCGTTTGCTCTTGGCAAGACAAAAATGGAATTCCACAAAAAGGAACGGTTTAACAGGATAAGCCACTATAAACTTCATAGAGATTTTCTGAGAAGCGAGATATGCTTTATTTGAAAGTTATCTTATGTTGCATAGGTTATGGCAGAGTTATTTAAATTCCCCCCCCCTGCATTTCAAAAGGTGAGATAAGGATCTGCAGGGAAATAAATACCTTCTGAGCAGTGGTCTCCTTCTGGATCTGACTTTGCCGTAACTTCTTCAACAAAACAAGCTTTGCTTCTTCTAACCGTAACTCTTCTTTCAGCTGTTTAATCATTCTCTCGCGCTCCTCGGGGCTGCTTTTCTGCAGGGCCGGGTACGGCAATAGAGGGTGGGAAAAGAGGGAGAGGGGAAAGAGAGAAACAAGTTACAACGAGACCGTACAGCATTATAATTGTCACGTGCCTGCAACATATGGACACAGACTGAGTATGGAGGAAGAACGTAAAGGCAAAAAACCAAGTTTTGGAGATATTTTCAGCCTTTAACAGCTTCAAGACTCCCCACTGGCAAACCCATGTGTGTAAAACCCCTGCATCCACTGACCCTGGGACTGCAGGTACCTCTGTAGAAACGAGCAGTGTTTTCTTTTGGCACAGCCTACAGTGGTCATGACAAGACTCACCATGAGTGCCTCTGTGTTGGTCTCTTTCAATGCTATTTTTGTTAACCCATTCATTCTTGGGCTAGAAGGTTCATTGTCAGATAACACTATAACATCCGGTGAGGGGACTCTCTTTTCTCGCTTCATTTCACTGCGAATCGAAAGAAAAATACAGAGAAGAAGTTAATAAAAACAGGCCAACAACTACTCCATGGTACAAAGTAACAGCATTTACAACCTGCTGCCAGATTAATCCAAATGCCTCAAATTCTGAGTAAACCCAAACCAAGTTACTGAGTCTGAAGGAAATCCAAAAGAAACACTTCACACCTATCACTTACCCAAATTTAAGTACTTTAAACTTTTTACGTTAACTTATTTCTACACCAATGCTACTAAACTGTTTTCTGCATTTAACAGCAGAAACCCATAACAGCCTCAACACACACAGGCATCCACTAAAAACCACTGAACCACATTGAGGTTTATACTGATTTTAACTCTTCGTTTGTTTTCTACTTTTAAATATCAGGCAATTACTTCTTAGACTAAGCGATGATTTCTGGACTTCACTGAGATGCCACACATTTATTAGGAATTTAATGATTAACAGAAATTAATCCTTATTATCTTATCTAGTGATGTAAAGAATATTCACACTGAATAATAGCATTGAAAAGCTGTGTAGCCTTATAAGCTTTGTGAAACACACACTCAGCACAGGTTGAATTGTGTTTCGGATGCTGCAAAAGCAGCCTCAAATATTGCAAAAACCAGCTTTTTAAATACATTTTCTATGCTAGGGGAAAAAGAAAGGGAGCCGTGGAGTGTCCTCTAGAGGGCACAGCAAGGCAGCAAACCGCAGTCACTGCAACTCTGAGGCTGTTTCAAAGTGAGCAGAGCACAGGTGAAGGGTTTTCAGCCCGTTTTCCTGCCCCAAACTGGCCCCGGTAGCTCACAGTGCCAGAGTCTGGCCACGCTCCCCCCAGCCCGGTGAGCCCCTGTGGACAGTGGTGAGCGCAGGGAAGGCACCAAAGTGAGCCCTGTTTGGGTGACAGTGTGAAGGTCCGAGTCTCAGTGGCCGTTCCTCACACTTTAAGCACAGTTAAGTTGCCCAAAAAGCTGAGAATTCTATAAAGTTGAGGATTTGAGCAGCCAGCGTTTGCCACCTGAACCAGCCCGCACAAAGTGGCAAACTGCTACGGGGCCAACCCATCTCAACCCACACCCCTCCACAAACACGATGTGATGTGGGGGACTGACTCTGGCTAGCGACGGTGACGGCCACGGGCGACACTTTGCCCCCTCTCTGAGCCGTGTGGCCG